GCTGTGTCCTTTGATCCAATTGATGGCATACTTGTTAAGAGACGTAGAAGCTGCAGCGAAGATGTCGTTCGCAACAGGGTGAATATTATCCTTATTCTCCAAAACAGCAACAGTCGCAGCACTGTAGATGTTTATCAGTTTGTTCACAATGTTAGAGTTGCACCAGTTGATTGCCATCAATACAGCGAAGATCTCAGCTTGGAAGACAGAGCACTCCGGGTGTAGAGCAAAGGAATCATTGTATACTCCCTCACCGGCCTGAAAGATCACAAAGGCACTTGCCGTGCCATCCGTTGACTTGGATCCATCTGTAAAAGCTTCAATCTCTGTAGAAGTAACACGAGGAGAGAGTCCCTTCCTTAAGGCAGGATGTGGGAGTGTAGATACAGGCCTGTCTAATTCAACCATGGTGGCATTAAAGATGGTTCCATTAATATCAACATCATTGCCTCTATAGATACAGAAACGTTTGCTATTAAATTGGAGAAATTGGAGGATGAGGAGCTTCCCAGCCACCGCAGGGAGGGCTGCATTTGAAACAGTGGAATAGCACCTGGTAAGTCGTAATAAGGCAATCCGCTGTGCGGGCCTCAGACGCTGATGGTTATGAGATTGAGAGGCAGCAGCACTCCAAACAGCAGATGCATATGAGATAGTTGGTAAAAACAGGCAATTATATTTAGCATTGGCTGCCTCAAAACCGAGGCACCACTTGCATTTGGCAACCCTTAAAAGTCCATTAAAAGCCAAGTTACTTCGACTAGTAATGTGTTTTATATGCTGTTTCCAGGAGAGTTTATGATCAATCACAACCCCAAGGAAAGTGAGATGACTTACAACTTTTATTGACTCATTACGAAACCTGATACAAGGCACACGTCTGTAAAGGTCAGGGGCGCCCGGAGAGGAGAAAACGATTCCCTTAGTCTTTGTCATGTTAAAACTGAGTTTATTTCTCACACCCCAGTTATACACTTTTTTAAGAATGTAAGTGGCTGCCCTTTCTATGTAGTTTCTTGATGGGGCAGAGAAAACCACAAAGGCATCGTCTGCATATGCATAGACACGACATTGGTAGCCGAAGTCAGTACGGAAGAAGTTATCGAATAAAATATCCCAGAACAGGGGCCCACAAACAGACCCTTGTGGACAGCCACATTGTAGCTTACGTGTAAATTGAAGATGCCCCAGAGAGATAATTGCTTCTCTATCCTCAAAGTAATTAGCAGCAAGATGGAATAAGCTAGCCGGACAATTGCACTCACCTAATCTGCGTAAAATGTGCGGCCACCAGGCCGAATTGAATGCATTCCTCAGATCTAGGCCGAGGCCTAAGACAAACTTGTAGCTTTGTAGCAGATGTTTGATGTGCCCAACTAAGTCCATCAATGCGTCAACAGCTCCATGCTGGCACCGGAAACCATATTTGGCTTCATGGAACAGTCCTCTGGACTCCCAAAACCAATAAATGTGATTAAAAAGAGCCTATCTAAGATTTTCCCCAATATTGACAGCAAGGAGATATTTCGCATGGTTTGAATGTCAAGAGGTTTCCCTCGATTTTTCGAAATTAAAACAAAAAGAGCCCTCTTCCATGGCTGGGGAAGATACCAAACTTGAGGCAAAAGTTGAGAATGTTAAGAAGTAGATCTGGGCAGGTTTTCCATATTGTTAGAATAATGTCTTTGTTTATCCCATCTAGACCCGTGGCTTTGTTCCTTGGGAGACGGTTTAAAGAGTCATTGACCTCAGAATAGGTAAAAAGTGGGTCATCCTCCAAGAGCTCACTGTCATTCCTGCATCCTCTAATTGAAGAGTGCTCGGGAGTGTCCTCCGTGAGGGAGTCAGAAGGGCAGAAATAATCAAAAAGACCAGAAACTGTGGCCTCAAGACTGGCTGGATTGTCAATACTGCTACTAAAAAAACTATGAGTTTTGAGTTTGTTTACACAGAGCTTATATATAAACCTCCATGGGTCTCTACCCGCACCTGCGCAGAAGGACTTCCAAGAATCTAGTTTTGCCTTCTTAATGGCCTCCTTATACCCTCTCTGGTTATAGAGGTACTGCAAGCACAGTTCCTCCCTCCTTTCATCATGGCATCTCTGGAATATCCTGCATAGTCTATTGTTGTTCTGGCGCATAAGAGAGAAATCCGAATTCCACCATGGCGTTACCCATTTTTTGTTCTTCCTCCTGGGAATGGATTCCACGTATGCGGAAGAGATTTGGAAAATATGTGATGATGTACAGGTATATGTGTTGTAAACATGATTTCCTACCTGATTTGTAGGAAGTAATTCTTGCTTATTTTGTAATGGACTAGCCTTTTTTTTTATATATTAGTTCCTCAATATCTCTTCCATCTCTTCACTATTATCCACAGTGATTTCATTCATTAGATTGCCCGATTTTGTTTGAATTTTTAAGTGATTGTTGAAGTTCGTAATCTTGTAAGCTGATACGTTTGTTATAGTAGCCAGCATGCTTGTTTTATACATCTTTCTGTCAAAAGACTAATTGTTATTGATTGTGTACTGTCCAGTGAGTGTAATAGTTTGAAATTTGCCAAAAATTAGTTACATTTAATAATACTAGTGTTGTGGCCTTGAAGGGATCCCCTTTTTGGCCTCTGGAATGAATGTTTATAAAACATATGATTTATATTTTGTAGGTCATCTAGAAAGCATAGTCATCGTAGCCGATCTAGATCACCACGTCGAAAAAGATCAAGGTCTCGATCAGGTTCTCGCTCTAGATCTAGACATAAGCGAGAAAGATATTCCAGATCACGATCAAGAGAAAGAGAAAGGGAAAGAGAACGTGACAGAAGGCGAAGAGGTTTACCACCCATCAAAAAAAATCATGTTGGAGGTAAAAATTTTAAATATCTTTGTTTATAATTCTTTGAAATCAGTTTTGTACAGAGCCCTCACCTCAGTTAAAATGTTATTGTAACCAATAACATTTTAACTGAGGTGCCATTATTGCTGATTGAAACAATAATTCTTTGAAGCGCTAATTCTAAAAAAATAAATCTAAAGAACTGTAAATAATTTTCTCATGTATATTACAGTAAAATAGAGAAAAGTTTATATTTATTTTATTTATAAAAAGGCTTAGTGTATATAATAGATTTTGTAAATTGCAATGGGAATTTCTACTCTTCTATCAAGTGGTAATTTCCATTTTTATATCGCATTGAATTTTCTGGCACACTTAGTTCCAAAGACTTGCCAGACCAACTGCAGTGTAGCAAGGCTTTACAAACTCAACACTACATCTTGTGTGACAAATTGTATATCTTACTTGTCTCTAAAGCACTATAGATTACTTGAAACTTAAAATAATGATAGTATCTTCTTTCATTAATTGCACGTTTGCTCAAATAGTTAGATCAAGAATTTGACAAGTTTGATTTATAAAATTGTTGGTAACGTTATTGTAATTAGCTAATCTTTTTGAGAAAAATATAAATTATCTCAGAAAGCTAAGCACTTTAAGATATATAAATATCAATTTCCCGAAACCTGATATCAAGCCAAACAATAGCCATAATTAATTGGGCTATTAGTATGATATAATTAATAATAAAAATCTAAGTAATTTGGTACTAGGGGTAGACGTTAGGCACCATCTTTTAACTCAAATTTTACAGGCATAGTTTCTTTACCCAAAAATTTCATTCTTATTTTATTCTAAAATTTAAATCAATTATTTCTTGTAAAATCAGATAATAGGTAAAATTATCTGCTTTTTCTTTCAATTCTTTTCTGTCAGAGACACTTAAAAGTGATTTTTATTGTGAGCAAAAACATATAAGATTTTTCAGTTTTACTAGATTAAAGATTCTTAATGATTTGAAATATTATAAGTACAGAAGTGGAAAATATATTATTTTGAATCATAATTTTGCTACTTGTTAGTAAATTTATCATTTATATTATTGTTTATATTTTATTTTAAATTTCTTAATTTTTNAACTGAAACAATGTAAAAAATTGCTAAAAAATTTTAATAAATGAACTTTAGCTTCAACTCAACTCATTTGGCAATACTTTTGGGCATAGTGGATACTGAACAAATGCCTATTACTTTGAATGTGTCATTCTTTCAAGACATTGTATTCCATGTCTTTGCAATTAGTGAAATAAACTTATGACTGCAGAATATGATGACAATTTTTGATATTTCAATTTTCTTTCCCAACACATTATATCCAATTGTCTTCTTTATACCATTATTTTCAGCTGGTTTTTGAATTATTTTCTGCAATCTTACATACTGTGAGAATAGCATTTTATTTTAAATTTCTTAATTTTTAGTGTGCAGTACCACATTATGGCTCGGACACGTTCCTAAAACCGTTTCAGAAGTCGACTTACAAGAAACTTTTGGCGAATTTGGAGTAGTCAGAAGTATTGATGTAAGTAACTATTTTCAAATAAGGACAATTTTTGATTTTCAGTTGTAATATGCTCCTGTATATAGAATAGTATTCTGTATATTTCAGGTATTTAGTATTTCAGACATTATTTGGTAAATGTTGGAACTTTATCATAAGTTGAGATAAAAAGAGAAATATCAAATTTTATAATTTTTCCACAATTAGAGAAAATAATAATACTGTAAATCTTAATGACTTTGTAATGTGTAACAGTATATTAATGTTATGACACACACACCTTATGTTGCTGAGAACCAACATTTATTGCTTCAACAAACATTTTCAACCTGATCAACAGGCCATTGTCAGGTATTTTAATTCTCTGGAACAATTTAGAATGGTTTTATATTTGAACGATTATGCGAGAACAATTCTAAAACATTCTAGAGAATTGAAATACCTGACAATGGCATGTTGATCAGGTTGAAAACATAAACATTCACAAACGTTATAGCAATGTTCTGTCATTTATTAGTTTAAAAAAAATGAATAACAGGACTGAAAATTGCAATTTTTCCAAATTTTATTTATTTATTTATTTTTTGCTTCAGATGTGATATAAAATTACATATTGATAAGCCACATTTTTTATTTATGTAGAAATTTTTAATATTTTTTCATTATTTAATTCCAAATATTTAATTTAGTGGTTTAATTATTGTTACAGATTGATTAAATTTTTATGTAATTTAACTATTATCCACCTGTTAAGATGCTTTTTTTCTGTTTTGCTGCATCAAAGAAAGTATAATTCTTTGATATTTTGATAAAGTTATTCGGTATCAAAAGATCTTTAACTCAGCATAAAATCAGGCGTTTATTAGAGGATATTGCTATAGATGTAAGGTATATACATCAAATTCTTGTTGAAAAGGTGTCATGATTACTTAAAGTATAAAATATGAAATATTACAAACATATTGCATATTTCTTTTCATATTGAAAGTGTTCATACTCTTTAAATCCACTTGTTAATTTATTTTTTCTGTAAACATTGCTTTTAAAATGTAATTTTTTACTTTTTAACTTTTAGCAGTTTTATCAATATAGTAAAGAGAAGTCATAATTCTTCCACTTGAAGAAAAGTTTTTATTAATTAGATTGAGTAAATATATCAAGTATTTTCTTGAACATTCTATTTTTTTTCCTTCTTTTAAATTTGCATTTTTCAAATAATAAATATTTTAAAAAAGTAAAAAAATAGAATGTGCAAGAAAATATTTGATATATTTACTCAATAGCACCATACATATTGAGAGGATTTTGATATTTCATTTTGTGTAATTAAAACTTTGAATGTTTCTGTTCATAAAATTAATAGAAAGTTTCATTTATACCAAGTTTTTTTTTAAATAATTGATTAATTAATTTTTTTCAGATGATACTACCAAGAGGATGTGCCTTTGTTTGTATGGAGAAAAGACAAGATGCAAACAGGGCACTTCAAAAACTAAGGAATTTAAAATTACAGGGATGTAATATTAAGGTAAACTAAGAAAAGATAACTATAAGATACTTAGTAAAAAATATATAGAAGAAACTGAAATGTCTTCATATTAATTTAATTAATATAAGATACTCATTTAATGATAAAATAATCTTTTCCAAAAACAAATTCCCACTAAAAATCTGACAAATTCATGTAAAGCAGTGTAAATATTTGTGCAAATTGCTAGTTAAATGATATATAAATAGATTTTGGCAATGACATTCATAATCTCATACTGTAATATATGATCATAAATGTTATTTACAAGATCAATATTATTAATTATTTATCAATAGCTATAAATAATAATATTTAAAGTATATGGTTAATCATTATAGCAAAAACAAAATCTTACACTTTGTAATAATTCATATATAAATTGCATTTATTTATTTAATAGAAATATGGGTGTTATTCTTGATACAGGGACATAATATAAAAAACATACAGTGGTAGACAATACAAGTTATAACAAAATGTTATTTAGTAAAATTAAATCACAAATTAAACTTGTAATCAGAAATTTCCACAAAAACAAAGAGAAGGAAAATAAACATTCAAACAGCATACCTATGAAAAGAAAAAAGATATTAGTACAAACAATTCATCTGCTTTGGATAGATCTCCCAATAAGACCATAAGGCACATAAGTACAAACCAAATGTTAGCTTGGCTTAGTTGAGAAATAAAAAATTTACATGCTGCACATATAAAACAGAATAATTTTTTAATAATAATGCTTATTATTTATAATTCTCTGAGTAACTTTTTAGTGAAAACCTTACAACTAAATATTCTTTGTTGCAAATTAACTACTAATTCACAATTTACTGTTAAATGAAAAACAGCTAAATGAGAACCCTTTTCAGAAAATTGACAAAATTCTTTTATATAGCTTGATTGGAAGAACATAACATTGCATCTAATGTTAAAGAGTAGAAATATTAGCACAAACTTTTATCAGCTTTAGACAGATTTCCTCCACATGTATTTGTTTCAAATTTGATTTTCCTGAAGCTTATTTTATTTTATAGTTTCATTGATAGTAGAATTATCAATGTAATCTAATTTTTTATACTGTATGCATTGTTTGGAAAATAATAAATTTTGTTAATCGAGAAGCCAGTTTACATGAAGTATTTCAAAAATTATTAAATCAGTTGAAAAACTCAAATCCTGGATAAATCAGATATAATATTACTGTTATGATGTGCTCATCATCCGTTAAGAAATATTTTCTTTTTGTTGTCTTTATAAACGGAAAGAAACAAGTTGTGAGGAGTGAGATTGGGCCCATGAGATGGATGTCCAACCATAGATAGATCTGAATTTTACAAAAATGTTAGTTATGCTTGATGTGCTAGAGCATTGTCATAGTGAAGATACTGAAAGTCCAGTCAAGAATGAGGATAAAGTTTCTTTAATGAATTGATAAGTTTTGACATGCAAGTTTTACTGTCTTATTTTGCAGTAACATCGTCACCACATATATATATTTTTAATGTTTCCTGACACCATTTTACTCTGAAGTCTCACAGTTCATTCAATTGTCACTATGAGACCAAGAATATAAAACATTTCTGCTTGCAAATATTTAAGTAGAATTCTGAAATAGCTGCCTGTGCACCAATCTTTGGTATTGCATCTGTTTGTAACTTTATGGTCTACATTTAGTAATTATCTTTACTAACTGCTTCTACCATATATCCAGATTATGGATCATTGATTAAGTTAAACTGTCCTCTTTTAAATTGTTTTTACTATTCAAGTATAGTTCCTTGTCATGGATATTTAACAGTAAACACTTTCATTTCTAATAAATACTCTTCCACAATTAAATTGCATTTAAAATTGTATGATAAAATAACATGATGATCAAATGTATTAATGTGTTAAATCTTAGCATCTTATTTGTTTAAATGAATTAGTAGAAAACAGTTTTAAAAAAATCTGTAAATGTTTTTTAATTTTTATGAATATGATGATGATTAATTAAAAATTGATTACAGATGGCTTGGGCACCAGGGAAAGGAGTCAAAGAAAAAGAATATAAATCATACTGGGATGTCGAATTTGGCGTTAGTTACATACCTTTTGAGAAACTTCCAAGTGAAACAGAACTGTCTGTTCTAGAAGAAGGAAGTATGATTGATGAAGATTCACTACCAGAAAAATATAGAGGTAAAAATTAATATTTATGAAATTTAATATTTTATATAATAATTCTAACTTTGTATGTAATATATACATGTGTGTTATGTTCTATATGTGTATATGCAGCATAATATACATTATATTATTGTATATACGAATGCTATTTTTTAAATAAGGTCCGTTTTTTAATAAGAAGAAAAATACTGTAAATATCATTAAAATATATTTTTTCTCATATTCTACATATTTTTATCTACTTTTCTACATAATTTCCATTTTTGTTCAAACGTTTGTCATACCGCTCAACAATTTTTTGAATTTCAACTTCAAAGAAATCTGCCGCCTGTGAAAAAGCCGAATCCATGACTGCAGTTTTCACTTTGTTGTCGTTGAACCATTGGCCATCAAAAAACTCCTTTAAGTATCAAAACAAATGAAAATCACTGGGTGCAAAGTTTGGACTGTAAGTTGGATGATACAATTGTTCCCATCCAAAAGAACTGATTAGACTTTGTGTTTGTGTAGAAACATGTGGCCTTGCATTGTCATGAAGCAACATCACACAGGAAGACAGTAGACCATGCTACTTGTTTTGTATGGCATGCCGGAATTTTCTCAAGGTCACACAATACAGTAGACCCTCCTATAACGCTTAGATACATTCCACGCTAACCGAAAATTACGTTGTAGGAACGATTAAATACATGAGCCAATCGCAGCCCGATAGGTGGGAACTTTACGGACTAAGGCTGTTCGAAAGGTTTTCTTCTATAAAATTAACCGATTCTAGACTAATTCGACTCAACATTTCCAAAACACGTATAATTTTTTGGGAGTAATCCGTATAAACTATGCTATAAACAAAAAATTATAGGATTACTTACCGAGTGTGTACCGTTCGACTACGCCCGTTGTTCAAAGCTTGTCTTCGTCGCGGAACAGCACACGAAACGGCGGCCGCGATATCTGATAAATAATTTATCGCAGAAAGATAACTTGACCTTTGGAGACATCATTAATATAAATAATTTTTATGGCCGTTGAATAAGAAGTGTTTCTTTCACAAGAAATGTATAAAATTAGTGCTGTATTAGACTTACGGTACCTAATTTACATACTGTGCAGACGATAATAAACTCAACTTACTAGCCTAAAATCTCCGTAGCGTGTTGCCAGGCGGCAGAAAGCATATATATAATTATAATAAAGTTACAATAAATTAAGTTAATATATAATTATATATACAGTACCTAATTTATATATAATTAATATATAATTATATGTACAGTACCTAATTTATATATAATTTATATATAATACTAAACAGACGATAGCAAACTCAATTTAGCCGCTCCGTAGCGTGGCGCAGGGTCGGAGGAAAGTAGTTCGGCTGCTCATCCACTATTGGTCCAGACTCTATCAATCTTGTCGCAAAACGACGTTATAGGAGGTACGTTATACGAAAGTTTCTACAATTTTTTCGCTACGTTCTAGGAATTGTCGTTATAGAAACGTACGTTATAGGGGGTCGACTGTATTTATCAGAATTGATTGTTGTGCCACTCAGCATAAAATGCACTAACAAAATCCCTTTCCTGTACCAAAAGACAGTTGCCATAATTTTCCGTGCTGAAATGGACTGTTCGGCTTTCACTTTGGTTGGCGAAGATATGTCCCCCATTCCATTGATTGTTGCTTGGACTCAGGAGTCATGTGAAACACCCAAGTCTCATCTTCTGTAACGATGTGATCCAACAATTCATCTTCTTCCTGATTGTATCGAGTCAAAAACAATAAAGCACTGCCCAATTGTTTTGTGATCGTCAAAAAGCAGTCTTGGAACCCACCGAGAACACAATTTTTGATAATTCAGTTTCTCTGAAACAATGGTATACGAAACTGATCTTGAAACCTGTGGAAATTCAGTTGGTAACATTGAAATCGTGAATCGTCAGTCCTATTGAATTTTGTTATCCACATCACAAACTAAATCTTCAGAAATCAGAGATCGGCCAGGGTGTGGCTCATCATGCACATTAACCTGCCCATTTTTTATTCTCACCCACTTTCGAACTTTACTGTCACTCATAGCATTATCACTGTAAACTTCATAAATCTAACAGTGAATTTCCACTGCTGCCTAGTTTCTTGCACTCAAGAATCGAATAACAGATCGTATCACACAGTCGGCGGGTGACACAATTTTCTTAAACATTATAAACACTTACATCTCAGCACACACCAGACGATACGACTGCAAATGGTGTCTAAACACGCGCAAAGCATGCTCAGAGCAGATGCACATACGCACTGCCACAATTGCGCATCATTCTCACTGTCATTCACAAACAGACCTTATTTAAAAAATAGCCCTTGTATATGTGCATATATTGTATTAATTATAAACCAATATGGTACGTTCTCGACTTATGTGGTTAATTTGTTTTGAAACTTTTCTTGTAAGTTAATAAACCCTATGAATTCTGTAGTGTTTAAATAGGATGGGTTATTAACATATATCTTTATTTCAAAGGATAGTTAATGCTAACAGTTTATATATAAAAACCACAACTGTAAACTGGAACGATATATATAAAATCTCACCTAAATGTCAAATTTCCAGCAGTACACTCAAATTCACCATTCCAATGCTTTCGGCCCTCATTAATCGGCCTTCATCAGGAAAAGTCAAACAAAAATGACTATTCTATTTATAGAATGTAGCCTCGTTCTACAAGTAATTTAAAAAACTTTTTTTAAAAATCAGTTCGAACAATGGTTGCAACGTATATTAAGCAACGCATATTCCTTTAAGAGTCTAAATAATACTTCCATGCGTTTGGTACAGGAATGTAATTTGTGTTGATGCATGCTCCTCTTATGTTGATCCTGTAGATTTCATTGGCCTCTAATTCTCTTATGTATTGTCTCTCAAATACCCTGTGTATTAGGGTTGCTTCGTCCCATAAGGGGGAAATTTCCAGTTCGTTGGCATACCAGGCTAGAATTATATTGATGTTCCCTTTTGCCATGTCATACTTGTGATCTCGTACCCGTGCTTGTAATGATCTGTATGTGAATTTACATTAGTGTGTACACAATTTACATTAGTGTGCTGTTGAACCTATCATCCTGTAGTGGGATGTAGTAAACTTCAGGTGCTCTTGCGTCCTCAGTGTGATCCTTCACATTAGACAAAAGACAAAACATGGTGGGTTTCCTTTTGTACGCTATGAGTATGTTTAAATCCTTGACAGTCCTCCTGTATGTGATGGAGGAATGGTTCGTAACTTAGATTACCTGTTTTTCTTCCGTGTTGTCAATGTTAGTATTGGTATTGATTGACCTGGCCTGATATGTGGATGTTATATTATTGATAAATGAGTGGCTGCACCCATATTTGGATGCAATATCAATTAATTGAAATGGAATTGTAAATATAAAGATTGATACTGAATATTTATCTAGCTGAAAAATAGTTCGATGAAATGGTTTGTTATAAAGTTTTGCCGAGATGAGTTCATTACACTTCATAAGGCATTTTCAGAAAAAACATTTTTGATAAAATTGTCTTATTTTTTAGTTTAATTTGAATCTAAATTTAAAAAAATATTACATTCCATTTAAAAAATTTGACTTTGAGCATGCATAACCCATTTCTGGCCCATATCAGAAGTTGAAAATGCCACCATTTGATAGAGCATACTCAATTTATTCATCAACATTTTTAGGATTTTTGATGGAACTCGCTTTCCTTTAAAAGGGATGTACCACTTGTCTGTATCATCCGATATTTTCAAAGTGGCATTTAATAAATGGCTTCATTAGTTATAAGTCAAGGCATTCAACTGCCTGTTTAAGAATCCACATAAGTCAAGAACGTGCATTAACGATGATTCTTTATCTTTTACACAATTTATATCATTACTTACAGAATTTAAATGAAACAATTAAAAGATCATCAGTAATGTAATATTATTGATAAGCATCTAAATTAATGACTGAAGAGAGAATAAAAATTTAAATAAATAAATTATATGAAATAATAACTTGTCAGTGATGAGAATATAAATTAATATTAACTTGTTTTAATAGATTCAAGTAGTTTTTTTTTTAACAATCCAGTTTACTGAAAGATAAGGCAAATTTATTACTTTAACTCCTGTCAATAGATAACTTGTATATTGTTATCTACTAATGTCTTCCAAAGAAAAAGTTTTTACATATAACAAGAACTTTGTAACATGGGGAATGATGACAGAAAAGGCCGAATTTAAGTGTGTCTTGGCTTGAGGTTTTGTTTTGCAAAACCTCGCTTTGAGAGCACGATGTTAAAATTGTCGAAGCGAAACAGTTCTGACCCCTGAAAAGTTCTTCTAATAGTATAATTTTGGCTTTATGTACTGTACCATTTAAGTAGTAATTACAGATAGTGAAACAATTTTAAGTGCAGATGTATTATAAAAATTCTTTTAAAATGATTCAGACTTTAAAATCAGCTTTTAAAATTAATTGAAGCAAATTAATACAAATGATATTTATGTTAATTTATTTTACAATATTTACGTTGAAAGTAATTTTGAATTCATTCATATGTCAGGTGCAGAACAAGCATTGATTTCTCCTAATGAAGATGTGAGCTTGTTTGTTTTAATTATCTATCAGTAAAATAAATTTCTATTCCATAAATTTTTTCTATAAAATTAACAGATGATTTTCCACTTTAAAATCTTTAAATGGAACTAAATGTAAGAAATGTACATGACAATTAAACATGTTTACATAAAAGTGAAGCTTAAATTTCAAAAAAAATTTATTCATATAATTATTAAAGACAATAATTTAGTAATAGATGAGAGTCACTGAAATCTGATATTTAATTTTTGAATTATAAAATACATAAATGTGCATAACCAATTAAAACTTTCTCAAAAATGCATCAGAAATTTTATTTGAAACTCCATACTCTGTTTGTAAAAGAACAAAAAGACTATTTGCGTAATGACAAAATTTACTTGCTGTTACGC